ACTTCATCGAAACGTCGCCTAGATACTTCCAATTTTACGCGGGAGAAAACCCAAATAACCAAAGATACACACACACACACACACACACACACACACTGTATATAAATTATGCTGTTATGAACCCTTACATTAGAGGATTAAAACAGGGGAATGGAAATGTATTAAAATATATAGAAAAAAATTGGATAAGTGGTAAGGAAGAAAAAATATTGATTATAAGGAAAGTGAAATGTATTAAAATATATAAATTTTGGCTAAGTAGAAAAGGGAGAAATATGATTATCAATGATTAAAAGAAAAGTGAAGAAATGAGATATATTAAGAAGTCATTTTAGCGATTTTATGGGGGGATACTTTAAAATATATGTTTTAAAATATACAGTTGATTATTTAATGTTAATATGTTTAAAGGTGGGGAATGAATTATTTAATTAGATAGATTGAGGAGATATACCATGTGGATCATAAATATATTAGCTTTGTCTTATTTTTGCTCTTTTTAGATTGTTTATTATATAATTGGCTTAGGAAAAATTAAGGATAAGAATGATGTTTAATGTTAAATAAAATAGGTGGTAAGGTAAAAATGGAAATAATAGGGGATAAAGAACTGGGAATCTATATGTGGATGAAATGATATTGAATTAATGAATTGAAATATGAAATGGAAACTTATTTAAAGATGAGTGAAATGGATAATATGAGGTGATATTATATAAGATTGGTGGAAATGAAAGTATGATTATGTACAAGTGTTATAATCTGGAATTATGTTGCCACATAAAGAGATGTGTAAAAATTAAAAAATTTAAAACTGGCACTCTTGACCAATTGGCCATCAATGGACACATAGACATAAACAACATCTACATACTGTATATAAAAGGGACAATCAACAAACCCCCAAAGGGAACAAAATGACCAAACACCTCCCCACCCCTATCAATATCCAGATGAGCATAGATTAACACTAAGATTAACCTCAGACCAACAATCAAGAAGTAAACAAAACCCCAACCTGCCAAACTAGCTAACAGTAAACAGCCCAGCCAAAGAGCCTCTGAGATCTCCCTCACCCGCATTCAGGGCAAGTCATTAGAATTCAAAACGAGAGCAAACCCCACTCCCTTCTAGCCCTGATGATGTTGCCTAGTTTGGGTGATGAAACGTCAGCAAGAAAACCACCTGGCTCAGGCAGCACCAGGGCCCCCTTGCTCAGAGAAGAGGGCTTGGGGAGGAACGGGCCACGTTCAGTCCTCCAATTCCAGGAAGGCCCTGGCCGGAGCCCTTGGGAGGCCTGTGTGCAGTGGGGGCTCCCCCATTAAACCAAAGACCCTGCTAGATGGGAGGAGTTCAGAGGAGGGGGGGGCAGGATGGAGAGGGCTTGGGGGCCAGGTAAAAACACCCAGGTGCACCTGCCCGAGAAACAAAGCAGCTAAGGGGGGAGGGGAGCAGCTGCCTTCAAGCACCCAGAGAGCTGCCTGGCAGCAGGGGGGCCGGGAGGGAGGGCAGGAGAGGGGAGGGCCAGGCCAGAGGACTATGGCCAGGGGAGACCTTCTGCAAACAGCCCTGCTGGGTGTGTGTGTGTGTGTGTGTGTGTGAGCCCTCCACAAGAGGTCTTCCTTCGCTAAGGGGGGCAGGCCAGGCGCAAGAGAGCCCCCCCCCTCCACAGGTCCACAGTCCAAGCGAAGTACTTCCCTGAATTCTGACTGTAGTCCAGGAATCTCCCCCGGGGGGTGGGGGTGGGGGGGTGTCAGTCCCGGGTCTCTCGGGCCCGAGGCTCCCCGCCTGCCTGATCTCCTCTCCTCCTCCCTGCTCTGGCTGGAAGTTCCCCTACAGGCGGCGCCTCCCCCTGGGTCGCGAAGGCCTTGCCGGCCCCGGGAGGCCCCCTCCGCTCAGCTTCCCAGCCCGGGCGCCTCCCAGGACTGGTGGGCTCTGCGGGCGCTTCCTCGGGGGACGCCGCAGGCCGGGCCCAGAGACCGCGGGGGCCACGTCGGGCACCCGGAGCCAGACTCCAGTCCCAGAGCTGAGCCGGGCAAGGCCAGCCGGGCATCAGCCGGGCAAAGGGCCCAGGGACTCTCGGGAGGGCAACCGCCCGCCTGGCGGAGGCCCGAGTCTCAGCACGGCGGGGAGAAGGAGCCGAGCTTCACCGCTAACCGGCGATCACAACCCGGGGCGGGAAACAGGAGGCTCCCCTTCCCGGCCACCGGCCTCCCGCCCCCGTAAAGGAGCCCCAGGCGCCCTCCGTCCGAGGCCCGAGCGAGGAGAGCCGGCGCGGAGAGGCCCCGGGGTTGGGCGGCCGGGGGCGGCTCCGCTCTGCGGCAAAGGCGACAAGGCCGAGCCGCGTCCCTCACCTGCCTGGCCTGGCCGCTGCCGGGCTCCGCGTCGACTGGTGGGGGCGGACTCGGCGACCACGACCGCACCGGCCGCGCCTCTCGCCCGCCAGCCGGTGCCGGGAACGCGGCCGGGCTCCCCAACTGCCGCGGCGCTGGCACGAGCGCGAGCGCGGGGCTCCCTCCGGACCGTCGGCAGGGAAAAGCGCTGAGCCGGCGGGGAAGGAGCGGCGCGAGGGGCGGGCAGCCGGGACTCCTCCGCGGCGGAAGCTCTGCGCAGCCGCAACAGACCCGGGACTGCCCGCCCGCCGGTTGGTCGAGGGAAGGGCCGCCCCGGGAGGCCCCTGCAGCGTCGGCAGAAGGCGAGAGTGGCTTGCCCTGGACGGCCGTGGACCAGGCCGTTGCCCCCGGCGCCCTTCCCGGGCGGAGGCCTCTTGTCGAGCTGCCTTCCCGGCGAGGGAGAGGAAAAACAATCCCGTTAGAATTGGGGGCGGGGAGTGGAAAATAGCCATCCCCTGCGAGCCACACGAACCGAAGTTTTAGATAGGATGAACATGGATCAGAACTATTTGCAATCCTGTTGAGCTGTTGCTAATTGTGAAACATGATTTTGCAAAGGACGGAGCTTTCATTATACCGTAGATACATTTGGACGCAGGAGGATGCAACCGTGAGAAAGAGGGAACTGAAAGTAGCAGATGGATAGAGATTTCAGATGTGCATCAGGACGGTGGAAAGTGACTCAGAAAGGAAGAACAAGGAAGGCAGCTGTGAAATGCGTGCAGAAGAGCACAAAAAGTATGCCCAGGAAGGTGTGTTCTGGGCCACTGGTCCATAAGCTGTCTTTACTGGACCAGTGACAGTGGACTCATTGCAATGGTTCGTTACAGTAAGTTGTGTTATGATGGTTGTTTATGCCCCAAATTATTAGCAAAATAAACCTCTGAATCTCAAAGTAAGAATTGCTGTTTTGTGTTGCTGTCTTTCGTTTCTTCCATTGGATCTTTCCACACCACCAGGAAATGAAGGCTGCCTCTGCTCTAGTCCTCTGGAATCCGGCCTGACCCTCTTCTCTCCCGCCCTCCGAGCCCAAGGAGAGGAGCCCATCCCCTGCCAGGCAGGTCTCTGGGTGCTTGGGGGGGGGGCTGTCCCTGCTTCATCCCTCCCTCCCTCCCTCCCCGATAAACCTTTGTACATGGTGAGTGCATGGCTCAGAAATGTGTCATTGATCACAGAGTGTGCAATCAAACTATTTTGGTGACTACTCCAACGCAGACCTGGAGCACAGCAACTACGATGAAAGGAGCCCAGTTGGGGTGATGTGTGGCTTTTCACTGCCTGCTTCCTGGCGACGACAGGGTCTGAACTCAGAGCCCTGGGCCTTCTCATGGTAAATAAATAAACACACGGCACCAGTGTTTACTCGGGATGAAAAAGGCACTTTAATAATGGTGGGTACTCCTTTTATAGGCTACATGCATACGTCATAGCAGGACAAAGAAGCATTCTACATAATTATGCTAATGCAAACCTATGCCATAGCTGGTATCTTATGCTGCTACTTTTTAGCTCCTCCCAGTTACTCTTATCTCCATAACTTTCGTTTCTCCCATATTACTCTCATTTACCAGTACATTGCAACAGTGATGGGCTCTGCTTTCCTTCCCCTGACATTCTCTTGTGGGCTCCATTTTGTTGGACTCCTTTCCAGAATTCATCCCTATTTCTGCCTGTTATTAGCCACCCCTCCAGTAAGCCTTGCCCAATTCTGAATGTACTTACAGATTGTTTTGTGATTTGTTTAGGTTGATCTTTTATGATCAAAGATCAGATCATCAAAATTGCAGCACAGAAAAACAAAGAAAATGTGCCATTGTCCACCTAGGAAAGTGCACAATAATAACATAAATTAAAAAGTAAGGATATTAGACCCACAAAGCCAATAATCACAGCATGTTCACTGCAACTGCTGTGTAATTGCAGTTGTGTAGTGTGGATTGCACTCATGGTGACTGGCATATACTAAGTTTTATACTAGAAATTCACCTCCCTGGGAATTACTGAACGCAGGTGCTGAGTAAAATTCTCAAATCTATAAAATGTGCCGTCAACAAGTTCAGCCCTGCCAACCTCTCGGGACCCTTTAGGTACCCAGGGGAAACGTGCTAAGGCCAGCCTGAAAAACCTCTTCCCTCCCACCGGAGGAGGCGAAGCTCTGCCTCCCGCAGCCTTCCAGCCACCCCGAATCCCTCTGGCCTCCCCAACGGCAGCAGAAAGCAGGAAACCTCCAGCTGGGGAGTGTAGTTTGCCCCCCCCCCAGGACCACCCGCCAGGCCGTGCCGGCGTTTGGCCCCGGCCGGCTGGCCTGCCTGGCACCCGGGGAGGCTCTGAGGGGTTCTCGGAAGCTGGGCTGGGCTGGGCAAGCGGTCATGGGGGGCGGGGGGGGCGTCCCAGGGTCCTCCTGAAGCCCCCGGGCTCCTCCAACGGGGTTGTGCCCGGGCGACGCCGCCGGAGGGTGCTGCGTGGCTCTGAAGGGCCACGACCCCCCAGGCCACGCGTGCCCCTGCAGGCGCCTCGCTCGCCGGCCCAGCCTCCGCCTGAGGGACCCCCACCCCCACCCCGCGCCTCCAGGCATCGGGTCCAGCAGCGCCCCGACCGCCGAGTCGGGCATATGCGAAGGCTTCGCCACATCGGGGCGGGGTTTCGTGGCCGCGGGGCGGGGCAGCGGGGGGGGGGGCTTTCTGCCGGGGGCGCGTAGTTCGCCCCGAACCCCCGGGAGGGGGCGGCGGGACGGCCCCCCCCCCCCCCCCCGGGAAAGCGCGGTGGTCGCAGAGGGCCGGGGGGATTGGAGTCCAGCGGCACAGCTGGGGAGATCCGACGGGCGGGGCGGGGCGGGGCGGGGCGGCCGCCCGGAGGGAGGAAGGCAGCTGCGGCGGCGCCCCTTCTGGCTCGCGGGCCGTTTCGCTTTCGTTTCCCGCGCGGCTGCTGCTGCGGACCTCGGGCTCTCCGCCCTCCCGGACTTCCTCGCTCTTTCGGGCGGACTTTTGGGTTTTTTTTCCCATGGCGGCGGCGGCGGCGGCCGTGGCGGTGCTCGGGGTCCCCTCGGACGTGGCCGATGAGCTGCTGGTGTTTTACTTTGAGAACCGTCGGCGCTCGGGCGGCGGGCCGGTGCAGAGCTGGCGGCGGAGGGGCGGCCGCGCCACGCTAACTTTTGAGCGCCCCGAAGGTGAGGACCTCGGCCGGTGGGAGTCGGGCAGCAACGCTTCCGGCCCCGGGGCTCTGCCCGAGGGGGAGGCCGGCAGCCCCAAGGGCTTCACAGAGCGGCTGCCCTCTTCGCAATGCCTGCCCGCCACCCGCTTACCCTCCCTGGGCCGTCCGCTGCGCGGGCTTGTGCGGCCCACTGAGGCCCAGCGGCTCCCCGTCGACCCCAGCTGAGCTTATTAGCAGGCGTTGCAAAAGCAGCCACTGACCTCCGGCTACAGAGTCCGTGTGTTCTAAGACTGAGGAGGTTGGGGATGATGGAAAGCGTAGTCCATTGTGCAAGGGACCTAGGTGGCTATGAGGCTGGGGTCTTTAGTGCTCCAGCTTTGCCCCAGACAGGTGGCTGGGTCCTTCTGGGACTTGGCTTGGGAGGGGTTGAGGCCCTGGATGGGAGGCTGGTCACAGAGGCCTGCCGGCTTGGGGTCTGCCTCGGCCTGTCCCTGGTAGTGGCTTGGCTGGCCATTGAGGTGAGGACTTTCCTCCTGGAGCTCCCCTGCTGGTCTCCTCCCTGGCAGATGCCCAGAGGGTCCTCTCCAGAAGTGACCATGCCCTGCAAGGGGTGCAGCTGACGGTCCAGCCCGCTGCTCCTCGGGATTACGGGAAGGTGCTCCTCCAGGGCCTGAACCCACAGAGCAGCCTGGAGCTGGTGGAGCTCTACGTGGAGCACCTGCTGGATTGCGAGAGGGACGCTTACTCCATCTGGCGCAGCCCTGCCGGGGACCAGGCGCTGGTGCAGCTGCAGGTGGTGCTCAGCCACGCAGGTACTTGTGGAGCCCTCCTCCATTCAGAACGCAGCCAGCTGAGCCTCCTGAGGGGCCTTCCTGGCCCCCAAGTGGGGTTGCCACCAGGTGCCTTGGGCCTCCTCTTGGCCCATGCTCCCTTACTCTGCCCCCCTCCCCGAGAAACACCAGCAGGGGCAGATACCCAAAGGGCAGGAAATCCACTGCCTTGCCAAACGTTGCAGTCCTGCACCAAGCTACATCACGTAGGCTGCAGCTTTTGGCTAGCTGGGATTGTGTGCCCACCAGGAAGGATCCTGCATTATGGGCAGAGTTAGCCATCATCTGCCAGGGATTCCTGGCTTCGCTGGGCCTGGAAACTAGCCTCTGGCCTCCAGTTGGGCCATCAGTTTCCAAAGGAGGGAGGAAGGTTAGCTGGCTCCCCGCTTGGAACCTCCAGAGAAGCTGAAGGGGAGATCCTTTCCCAGCAATCTGTCTTGGGGGGCGGGGTGGGGGTGGAAAGGACAGAGGGCAGTTCCTAGGGCAAAGCTGAAGGGCAGCCGCTTGTCTTCGTTGGCTGCCTTGACTTGGTTCCTCGGCTTCCCTGGCAGAGTTCTTGGCGCTGGCGGATCGTGTGCAAAGCCAGCTGCTGGACGGGGCCAGCCTGGTGCTGGACTGGGTGGAGCAGACAGACAGCATCCTGGTCCGGAGTCCCCACAACAGCCAGCTGCAGCCAGAGGTGCTGACCCTCTACTTTGAGAGCAGGCGGAGTGGCGGGGGCCGTGTGCAGGCAGTGCGGCTTCTCCCGGGGGGCATGTTGGCCGTGGTCTCCTTTCAGGACCGCACAGGTGAGGGCTGTTCGAGACGCGTCTCCTGGCTCCACTTCCGAGAGGTGCCGAAAAGGCTCTTCTCATCCTGCTGCCTTCCTTTCCCGCAGTGGTGGATCAGGTGCTGAAGCAACCCCACCAGCTCCCCGTTGGTGACCTGAAGGTCTCCCCTCACTATGACTTCCTGGAGCCCCCGGAGGCAGCGGCAGAGCTGCAGGCGGCAGGAGCTGGCATGGCCCTGCCCACCACCCTTCCTGTCGCAGAAGCAGCTACAAGGCGACTGCTGCAGTCCACGGGTGTCCTGCAGGAGCTGGGGGCCTTTGCTCCCGAGTGCATTCTACGCTGCGAGGAGGCTGGGCTACACATCTCGGGTGGGGATCCAACTCGGCGGCGGCAGCTGCGGGAGCACATCCAGGCCGCCTTGCATGCAGTGGTGCAGGAG